AGAAAGGAGAAACGCAATTCCATATGATTATATTATGTTTCTTCAAGAGCATGAAAATATTTTAGGGTTGAAAGAAGATTATTCAATCAACTTCCAACAAGTCTTAGAAAGCTCTGATGCTCATAAATGGATTGATGCCATGAAAGATGAGATAAAGTCTATGAAAGATAATGACGTTTGGGATCTTGTCGAGTTACCTAAAGGTGAAAAACCCATTGGTTGTAAATGGATATTTAAAACCCAAAGGGATTCCAAGGGAAACATAGAAAGATATAAGGCACATCTAGTTGCTAGAGATTTTACTCAAAAGGAAAGCATAGACTATAAAGAAACATTCTCTCCAGTTTCTACGAATGACTCTTTTAGGATCGTAATGGAACTTGTGGCTCGTTTGGATTTAGAGATACATTAAATGGATGTAAAAATAGCATTTCTCAATGGAAACAATGATGAGACCATTTATATGGTGCAACCAGAAAACTTTGTATTTGGAGAATCAAAGTCTATGGTTTGCAAATTAAAGAAGTCCATCTATGACCTTAAGCAAGGTTCTCGTCAATAGTATCACAAATTTCATCAGGTTATCATCTCTTATGGCTTGGAGGTGAACTTGGTAGAAGATTGTGTGTACCACAAGTTTAGTGGGAGTAAATTAATATTCCTGATACTATATGTTGATGATATATTACTTGCCAGCAGCGATATAGGCTTATTGTATGAAATCAAGAAATTTCTCACTAAATTTTTTGAGATGAAGGATCTTGGCGATGCATATTTTGTCTTAAGAATACAGATATTTAGAGATCGCTCTCAAGGTATCATACGGTTATTACAAAAGGCCTATATTGAAAAGATTCTGGATAGATTTGGCTTGAATGATTATACATCAGGAGACACACCTATATCTAATGGAGACAAGTTTAGTCTAAGTCAGTGCCCCAAATGTAAACTTGAGATGATGAAAATGACAAAGGTACCTTATGCTTCGGCAGTAGAAAGCCTTATTTATGCCCAAGTTTTTACTCGCTCCGATATAACATTTATAATGGTAGTATAGGTAGAAACTTGAGCAATCCAATAGTGGATCATTAGAAAGCAGCAAAGAGGGTTAAGCGATATTTAAAGAGAACAAAAGATTACATGCTCACATATCGAAGGTCAGATGAATTAGAGATAATTGGGTATTCTGTCTCCGATTTTGTTGGATGCCAAAACAGTAAAAGATCCACGTCAGGTTATGTCTACATGTTAGCTGGAGGAGCTATTTCTTGGAAGAGTGCTAAGCAGACACTTGTAGCTTCCTCTACTATGGCCACTGAATTTGTAGCTTGTTTTGAGACGTCCAACCAAGCGTATGGTTGTGAAATTTTGTCACAGGGCTGGGTTTAGTAAGTGGTATTGAAAAGCCACTAAATATTTTTTGTGACAATAAGTCAGTAGTGTTGTACTCCAACAATAACAGAAGCTCTTCAAAATCGAAGCACATCGATATAAAGTTTTTGGTTGTTAAAGAAAGAGTTCAGAGTGGTCAGATTTCCATAGAACACATAGGGATGAAATGCATGCTTGCAGATCCTCTTACTAAAGGCTTAGTGCCTAAGGTCTTCCATGAGCATACTGCTCATACGAGTGTTATTTTGTTTAATGACACTATAGTTTAGTGGGAGTTCTTTATGTTGGTGTTCTACGTAAAAATATTTATATGTTTGTTATTTACATAATAAAGATTTTGATGTTATTTTCCCTCTGAATGTGTATATTTTGTGCTTGTGTTTCTGCTTTGTGTATCCAGAAAATTAAGAATTGATCTCATAAAGACTAAAGTAGGACCAGTTGGAAATAGGCATGGTGGAGATCACATTACATGTAATTTCCATGTCACTCATCCATACTTGATCTATGTCATTGAATATTACGCTTGACAGTGACAAAAGCCGCCATGATCTCATATTAATATAGGAGATAGACCATATTATATCTGAGGAGGAATCTAACGATAAATAACATATAGTTGCGCACTAAGGATATATGATATAATTATTTCAGGTCAATGTGTAGCCCAAGTGGGAGATTGTTAGGAAATTATATTTTCTAATGTGTTTAAGGGCTACATATTGTATAAATAATTATATTATGCTATTTAATATGTATTGGATAAATTAAAGTGATGAAATAAAGATGCCAAATAGATTCCAAAGTAAGTGTGGGACAAATGTGTGGATACCGTGTTGGACCAACTAGGTATAATGGGAATTTACTGGCCCAACAATAAAGAAAAACACTATAAAGGGTTATGGTCCCTAATATGTCAAATAACAACCCTATTTTCTCTTCCCCATAAAGAGAGAGACATCACTCTAAAGAATAAGGATTAGGGCTATTTGACTGAGGAAGATCACATATCCTATAAAGAGAAGATCATACTAAAGAATAAGGATTAAGACTATTCGACAAAGGAAGATCGCATACTCCAAAGGAGAAGATCGAAGTTATTCCATTGCGAGAGAGACAAATATGCCTCTTCCTTTATGTTAATATTCCTTTATGATTTGGTATGATGGATCTCGATTTATTGGTGATGATTATCACCATAAGATTAAGAGAAATTATTATTCCAACACATTATACAAATCGTCCACACTAACAATTCAACACTCTCCTCCAAAAAGTATTTTAATAAATAACCAAATATAATACTTGAGTAACGGTTAAGTTGGTAATTTTCCTTACATTCCCCCCCCCCCCCCAAACCAAAAAAAAAAAAAGCCCAGGTATCATATATACCCTTAAAATATAAAGCCACCCTTGGGGCTTTCTATTTGATTGTATCAAATGACCCAGTGAATTGGAATTTTTCAATTGGGCTGGGTCATTTTGGGATAATATTTTTTCTGTCACCCAAGATAAAGTTATCTCTCATTTTCTCAAAACAATATCATTTTGTGATTAGGAAAACAAAGTATAATGATAAAAGAGTAATATAACCTTATTTTATAGTTTCATTTTTGTTGTTTTGATTTTTCTGAAATTGTCACATTTTCTTCTATTTCCTTTTCTTATAAAATATGGACATCTCATGATCTTTGGTCACATGCCCATGGCGATAGAAATCATAATTATTAACATATACAATAATCCCAAGAAATAAAAAGTGGCCACGGCCTGCACGGGTATCAATCATCAAAGGCTCGAGAAGGAAATGCGCACCAAGGATTTGGAGACCAAGAAATTATAGAAAATTTCTTTTGACACTTTCTTGGTGCTATACCCCCCTCAACTTTTAATACTATATTTTTTTCTTCTTTATCTGACAGTATTTTTAATTTCTTTTCTTTTACAAAGGGCATGAATTCTCATTTCGGTGCATGCACGCAATGACATCATTCTTGATTAATAATGAACTTTTAAATTCATGATAATAACATATATACACACACAATCAATTATGCAAGCGATTGATTATTTGACGTGAATTTAATCAATAATGCAATTATTTGCGTGTGCACCATTAATCATCAAGATTTTTGTAGCGATATTGACATGAATATTTCATGAAAATATCGATCGATCAATTTCATGAATTTTGTAGCTAATTTTGTTTTCCTTTCTTTCCAAAAAAAACTTTCAATTTCTTTCTTTATATTTTTCTCTTGATGTAATATTAATTATGACATATATTCACCCGAAAAGTAAAAAGTTCAACACGCTTTGTTAATTCATGAGTGCAAAATTAGCTAGAACGGCGGAATCCCTTTCTACCTTTCTTCTTTTTCATAGAGATCTGTTTTCGTAAATTTTTCTAATTTTTAAATGTATTTTTTTGGACATAAATAACTTTTTTATTTTTTATTCAATATTTAAATAGAGAATCTGAAACTCACTTGTTAAGAAAAATAAAATTTTAATTTATTTAAGTAAATATAGGTTTATCTCAAAAATATTAATAAAAATATTTTAAATAAATATTATTTTAAAAAAAATTAATATTAACTTCTTAAGAATACACAAAATAATTAATAAAGTATACGTGGTTAAAACGTATAACAAATTAACAATAATGAAAAGAAGTTTGGGCTTCGCGGAGAAGCCGAACAAATTAGTTTTATGGGGCAAAAAAATTAAAATAATGTATTTAAATTAAATAATTACGTATTTAATGTTATTTTGTATAAAATTACACATCTGCTGCACAATGTGACGCCCAAAAGTGGCTTCACATGTGTGCTCTATATATTTTCCCACCCCCTCCATTCAATTCACACCTCTTCTCTCAGTCTTCATATCTCTCTTCTCCACCAACATTCCTTTATCTTTAATTTAGTATTTGAATTTTATTTCTTATTCTATTTAAAAATGAGCTCAAATCCTGATTCTGTTCGTGTTGTGTTATATTACAATGGTAGGAAGGTAGAAGGTCAACGAGGTGTCATCTTCGAAGGTGAAAAAAGGCCGACACGTATCCAACGCAACACAACCATTGTCGAACTGCATCAGAGAATTCGTCAGAAGTTAAGTCTTCTAGACAACCAATGTATCACTGAGATCACGACAAGGGTGTGACAAGGTGATAAATACATTAGTTTGAAAGTGTTTGACGATGAAGACTTGGAGATGACAATGGAAGAATTTTGCAACTAGTCAAGGACAGATTTTCTAGAATTGTATGTCGACATCGCTGCAACCGAGAATGCTGCCTTACCGGTGAGGTCAGTTTATTTAAATTCTCACCGTCTTCCAGCTTCTCCTGCCGCTCATGCGTCTCCAGTTGGTAACTTTTCTGAGGGAGATAAAAATGGTCCGACTTGGGAAATGCACGACGAAGATGACGATGACGACGATGAAAATATGTCAATGGAAGAACGTCTTCTGGCGGAGGATGCTAGTGCTTCAGAAGGAGATGAATCCCGTGAGATGGGTGCGTCTCAAATCCCAATATTCCATCAACCATTCGTCGAGCAAATGCCGCAGTTGAATGACGTTGCGTCTGCCCCGTTCGGTATTCACCATGAAGGTAATTGATCCCATTTGTATAAACCTGTCAATCAGAAACATTCATTATCAATCATAATCAAGAAGTATACAGTTAGTATATACATTATCAACCATACATTATCGAAATCAAATGAAGTAAATAAATCATACTGACATCCATAATGTGTGCCCGACTCTAGATGAGGATGAAGGGGTGGAGCAATGGGTGAGAATCGTATCCATGCCCAAATTTGAAGGAGAATATGGCAACCACCCATGTCAGTTCGACAGGCATCTGTCAATTCACACAAATTCCTGAACAAGTGTGTCAAAATCGTAGATCCCCAGCTGAATCGGCCAATGTCCTCAAATCTTCCACCTAGCAACTGGACAAGCCGGCAACCAAAATTGCTACCTCCAGACTTGTCCGCCAGCAACCAAGTCCCCAACATCCAGGCAATGTGGGCTTTTGTGAAGTAGATCTCGGCAGCATGATTCCCCTCATGATCAGTCCACCGGGTATAATGCCGATCCAAGAATGAGATGCGGAGGTCGCCGGAATGATGGAACTCACCGGCCTCTGGAACATGTCCAAAAACAGCAGCATAAGCAGCGTGCCAATCCTCAAAGGTCGATCCGGTGACGACAGTTCCGTCATTCGGCAAGCCCAATATGCCTGCCACATCTTGTAAGGTGATCGTCATCTCACCTTGGATCATGTGAAAGGTATGTGTCTCTGGTCTGCACCTCTCGACCAGAGCACTAATTAAAAATGTATCGATCTGTGATAAATTACGCAGTTATCACGTGTTAACGAATTTTATTGAATAATTACATAATTACAAAACGACGTAAATAACATACCTGGATATGTTGCATCCTGGCAACATGTATGAATCCCGCTTGTCTTAGGTACTCTTCGACAACCTGTGGAATAGCACCGGTAGGTGGCCCCCCTTGTGGCTTCCCACGCCTGGTCTTAATTTTCCTTACATGCTCTGTATTCCACACTCGCTGTGAAATATGAGCTTGCTGCGTCCTCTTTCGAAGGACCTCCCACCTGTACGGCCCAGGTATGATTCACATGCTGGGATCGGTGGGCTCTACATCCGACTCAGATCCCGACGAAGATGATGACTCAGCCATTATCCTCAACTATATAATATAAAACAACATTTAAATTAATCACATGTAACAACCCATTTTATTTACAATTTAATTAAGCAGTGACATAATTGATTATCACAAAAATCAAGCATATGCGTCATTTATTTAACTAGAATCAAAATTTATGAAGTCCCGCCAAAAAGTAGAACATTTATTCATTTGCAATTAAATAATAATAATACATCGGACAAAGATAATATAATACTAACTGAATACTTAACCCTAGGTCACTACCAACTTGTCCAATACGTACTAATCATCCCACCTAACTAACTACAAAGTTATGCACTCCCGCATTAATAACATCATACATACGAAATTTACGAAGTCCCTGACACTATTTATAAATCACTAATTAATATGCTAAACCCTAATGCATAATTAAAAATTAATAATAATAACTACGTAATAATAAAATTACTATATCATTACAACATTCATAGCATGCCACAAAATTTCTAAGTGACTATCCTAATGTTCCAAGTCTCTAATATACAATCAATCCTAACATGTATTAGTAACTAGTACTGTAATTTAAATGTATAGATATGAGGTATTATGACCTTACCTACGTTGGCAGAGCTTCGCTACGAACCGCGGTTAGAGAGGTAAATGAGTAAGGAGTGAAAAAAGAAAAGTGAGGTATATATAGGTTGCACATGTGACGCCCCAATGGGGCGTCTTCTCCAAGGGAGAGACGCCTCACTGGGGCGTCACATGTGACGTCCAAAGGGGGCGTCTCATTGTGCAGCAGATGTGTAATTTTTTACAAAACAGCATTAAATACGTAATTATTTAATTTAAATGCATTATTTTAATTTTTTTTTGCCAGCTTTATGGAGAAGCCAAGACCATTCCTCTAATAAAAAGAAGGAAAAAGTGTTTATCCTTTTAAATGACATCATTTATATCCTTTTACTTTCATAAAGAGGTGGGACCTACAATTTTATTTTTTTTGTTAACTCTCTCTCCTCCGTTATCTATCTCTTTCTCTCTCTTAAAATGACACAATTTTACATCCTTTAAAATGACACACACTTTTTCATAAAAAGAAATAATAGAAAAAAAGAGAGTCGCGAAGCCAATAGTTGGAGCACTTTTTGAGTGCTACAGCTGCACCATACATCGGTCCAAAAAGAGAAATAAAATGGGGATACAAATGGAAATAACCAAAATCATTTGGATTCAAATGTAATTAAATTTTCTTTTTTTGGAAAAATGCTGCACTGAGTTGGGCACTACCGTAGCACCCCAAAAAAAATCCCAATAGTTGGCTTTAAAGAATTGAATTAAATTAAAAAAAGAAAAGAGAAGAAGCAAACGAAATGGAGAACATAGCACAGAGACGGAAAGATATTAGACAGAGAAATTGTGTGATCATTGTGGAGGGAAGACTGAAGAGCATGAGATAGAGAGAAGAGGAGATAAGTGGGAGTGAAGGAAAATATAAAAATAGATGGAGAAGGAAGCATATGATAAGAACAAAGAAAAAAAAAGTGCCTAAAACTACTATTTAAGTTAAGTTAAGTTCTATTCTTTAGTTGTTATAATTTCAAGAAACATATTAAACCCCAAAATGGGATTAATATTATAGGATATTTATAAGAAAATTAAATTAAGCTAATGATGGGAATTTTAAATTATTGTATATTATATTCTGAAGGCCTTAAAGATACGTAGGATATATCAGTTATATATTTAGACCAATTAAATTATATTTACAGTTCGGGTGGTGACTTAGAAATTTTTTGGAATATATTAGATGATATTAATATTAGTTGAAAAACTTAAAACATTTAAATTAAAGACTTTATCAATTTATAATACGGTTAAGAATTATAAGGAATTTATAATTTATCATATTTTGTGCTTTTCATCTAAAATTTTAATTTAACTTTTATTTTGTTATTAATTTTTAGGTTTATTCTGTCGTCATCAGTCCATTAACTTTTATGTCTTTTTTGCGACTTTGACAAGTGCACCGGTCGTACAAGTAATGAAGTGGTAAAAGTAAGGTTGTCGATCTCACGAGAACTGATTATCAATCACTAACTTATCTACGCGATTAAAGTTGGATCTATCCTGAATTGATTTTGTTGAGAGAATTAATTTAATTGAAAAATAGAAATTTTAAATATTTTGTTTTTAATTTTTAATATTAAGAAATCAAGAATTAAATTCAAGAATTAATAATGCGAAGAATTTGGTTTTTAACTTTTAATAAAAGACGTAGCTAGGAACTCGACTTTCCCAATATTTTCTTAACAAGTCTATCCTTTCTTGTAGTCGACATTCAAGATTAAGTTATCAACGATTCTTTCTAAAAATGATTAAATCTCAATCTCTTGGTAATTTAATTCTTTACTTTATTCAAAAGCCTAATCTCTTAGAGCTTTTTCCTAGAGCAAGCATTAACGCAAGAACCATAAAGTTATAGAATTTGTAAGCCTATGCATAGATCATACAAACTCTAGCAATTAATCAATTGGAATCAAGACACCAACATCCCTATTGTCATGCAAGATTCATGTGTTTATCTATGAGTGATCAATTCATAAACAAAGCTAGTCATGAGGAAACAGATTAACTGCATAACTTAAATCATGAATATAAATTACAAGAAAGGATAAACAACGTTCAAGAACCCATTGGTTCCGTCTCACCCTAACAACATAAATAAAACTAACCTAACATATTCATGAAATCAGAATAAAAAGATGAAAATAAACTATAATGGTTCATAGAAACTTAGCAGAAAATTTAAACGGTAATTCTTCAACCTTCTCTTCTTATTTTTCCTTCTGTAATCGTCGTTTCCAAAATTTCTCCTCTGCCTTCATCTCTGAGTCTTTGCTTCTTACGTCTTTTGAATGAATGCAACAACGTTCGTCTTGTCTTTTTAAAGAATTAAACTGGGCTTTTCTATATTTGGACTCGCTCGGTGAAGCGAGCATATTTCATTTCCTCGTTGTTGAGCTCGCTGAAGCGAGCTGCTCAGCGAGCCTATTAAAATGTCTCACTTACCTTGCTCGCTGAAGCGAGATGCAGAGCGAGCAAGACTAAATCTTTGTTAATTCTTTATTTTCCTATTTTTTTTATATTCGCAATTAATGCCAACTGCCTTTTGCCCGTCAGATTAGTGGTTTGTTACTTCAAATCTGAAACAACCAGAAACAATATGAAAAGGGATTAGAATCTTATCTAGTTGTTGGCATTTTTAATATCTTTAAGATTTATTAATTAACACTATATTCTTAATCATATTAATCATTATTTAAACTATATTTGACATTAAACTATATTTAAACGGCGCCAAAAACTTGTTACAACTTCGCTAAGTGCACCGATCATACAAGTAATAAAGTGGTAAAAGTAATGTTGTGAATGCCACGAGGACTGATTACCAATCACTAACTTATCTACGCGAATAAAGTTGGATCGATCTTAAAATGAATTTGTTGAGAGTATTAATTTAATTTATAAAATAGAATTTTTAAAGAACTTATTTTTTATTTTCAATATTTAAGAAAGGGACAGGATCCGTTTACAAACTTTTTTTGCAATTACACTAAGTAGGACCGGTCGTACACTGTGTGATTAATGTAGGACCGGTCGTACACTGTGTGATTAATGTAGGACCGGTCCTACTTAGTGTAGTTTGTAAGAGTTTGTAAACAAAAAAGTTTATAAATATAACCCGCCCCTTTAAGAAATCAAGAATTGAATTAATAATGCAAAGAAAACGGTTTTTTAGATTTTAATTAATTAAAGATGTAGCTAGGAAATTAAAGTTTATAAATATAACCCGCCCCTCCATGCAATTAAATTTCGCAATCAATCATTGACAATTCTTTCTAATGTAACTGACTCCCCAATCCCTTGGTGGTTTCAATTCCTTATTTTATTCCAAGGCTCTAATCCCTTAGGTCTTTTCCTAAAGCAAGCTTAAAGGGCAAGAATCATGCGTCATAGAATTCATAAGACTATCCCTGGAACATACAAATTCTAGCAATTAACCAATCAGATTCAAGCATACAATATTTCTATTAGCATGGAAAAATCTACTGCTCATTCACAACTGATCAGATCATAAGCAAAACTATCAATTAAAATAGATTAATTGCATAAGAAAAATACGGATAATAATTGCATCAAAGATTAAACAGCGTTCAAGAACTTATTGGTTCCGTCTCGCCCTAATTACATAAAAAGAACTAGCCTAACATGTTCAAGAAAACAAGAACAATAGATGAAAATAAACTAAAATTCATAAATGAAACATAAAACCCGATCTCCACGGTGAAACTTTTACCGTTTCTCCGCTCCTCCGGTCCAGAACGAAGCTTCTCTGCCTCCTAAGTCATCTCTGACCGCCTCCTAGACTTTCTCTGTCACGTCCCAGCATTCTGCCATGTTTTGAATGTTTTCAACAACCTTCTTCTCGTCCTTTTTAAAGAATTAAAACTGGGCTTTTATGATTGGATCAGCTAGCAAGCATTTTTTTTATTTCCTCGCTTGAAAGCGAGAAGACCTATTC